AGGCACATCTACGGGTAATGATTAACATGTGTGTGAAGTTTGGTGAACCTATCATGTAAACTTTAAGAGATATGTTCCGGACAAAGCTTCAGGACGGAAGGAGGGACGGACGGAATGACCGCATTATTCCCCCCATACTACGTAAACGGGGCTAAAATAATAGACTAATATGGTTTCTAGAAACTAATAATCTCATTTCAAATATTCTATGAGGATCTGTTTGTTAAAAAATCCTCACTTATTCCACCTGTCGGAATGCGAATAAAACTATCTCATTTCTGCTGCTATATCCAACACTTTGTCAATCACTTAGATTATTATTAGCTTAATAGTTGTATTAATGCGGCAGGTGGTTAAGAGTCTGTCACCATCCGTTTCACCATTCTGAAGCGTCACGGAATATCCTGGTGATACTTCCTCATTAGCTCTGACAGGAACGAATCGCACCTGCGCCTATGGCATCAGCCAGCTCGGAAACATGGAATTATTATCTCAAATGAGAAATGAGACTTCGATCTTTATTATGGAGAAGCGATGTTTCTACAATAATTATGAAAGATTAAACTTCTCGCGGTAGCTTACGCATAAAATCCACAGTGATGGTTGTTGGTTCAATTGGGTACAAATGAAAGATCATATTACGACCGATCTATTTTTACCAAAATCGTCGTCCTTTTCATGGTTTTATCGCCATCAGCACAGTCAGCCGTTAGCAACTCTTTTTACGTCTGAAGTCTGCTTTAACCCAAACTCACAAAAAAAGAGAGAGAAAGTGAGAAAAGCAAAAGTGGTTTTCATATGTTATGTATTAGATAAATAATCAACAGATATATTAAAGAAATAAGGAACAACGGCACCCCAAGACCAACGTGATCAGTTTGTAAGATACAAACAAACAATCTGCACTCGGAGAGTTCAGGAAGAAAAACGCGAATGTGGTGAAATTCGCGTGTATATGACAGATGATTTCGGTCAGGAATAAGAGTTAGATGTTTTTGTCAATACTCGGAGAGTGAGTGAGTGAGCTAAGATGTACAGTCACATCACATCAGGGGCTAATACAAGTTTTAAATTCACCATAAATACATGTAAATTATAAAGCGCCTGTGAACGAAAGCTAGTAAAAATTACTAGAATATTACAGTTGTGAATATAAAACGTGAATGCAAATCTAAAATATTTTAACTACAGAATACAATATAAAAACAGACTGTAGACTCATGTTCTTTTATTTCGGTTTGTACGCCATCGGCCCATGTACAATACATGCAAAAAAAGAGTACAATTTCGTGGAATAGGAGCAACTGTACAAAGTAACTCAATTAAATGGCTAATGTTGTAACACTTTTCTATAAGCAAGAGCTTATTTGATGTTACATGTATAAGAACAATTTACAAGGGTAAATCTACAATTACTAGTTAATATATTATGATAATTGACGACGAAATTGACTGACTATTTACAGGAATATATCTATCTCTAATTGCATTGTAAGCAGTACACTCAAACAAAAAATGAATAACATTTTCATTCACCCCATCTTCACACATTCTACAATCCGTATCGACATTCGCACCTCTTATATTACACCGTAAAGGGAGGGAATTTAATCTGAGAAGGCAAATATTTCTTCTAACAGTTACTTGGTTGATGAAATTTACATAATATTCAACATTTAAAAGTGCATCAAATGAGAAGATTGATTTATATTACCAAAAATATGCTGTTTATCACAATCAATTAGGCTGTTCTTAAAAAAATATATATAAACTGGGAAATATTACCAACATCCTGACTGTACCAAACAAAACAAAACCCATAGGAACTTAAAAATATTTAACAGAAGTAGTCCACCTTACTCTACCAGCTAAATCTAATTTCCTCATGAGTAAATGAGACTGTTTTCGATAACGATCCTCTCACACCCTCAATAATTTACACCGATACCTTATACATTTGACATGATAATTAACATACATATTTAACCTACCGCAATCTGCTAAAACTCCATTACTAGAAACCTGCTTACCTACACCAAGAACATATTTGCAAAAGTTAGTGTGAAAGATTTCAACCGATTTCCTCTCCTCGAACCCCCAGATTTCAGACCCATATAATAACACAGGTTTAACCTTACTATCAAACAACTTGAACATTATCCTTACAGGTATACTTGGATATTGTATAAACAAAGACTTCAAAGCAAAAGGGGGCCTTACTAGCTTTACTAACAAGGGTATGAGTACACTTTGTCCAAGACAATCTAGTAGAAAATAGAACGCCAAGATAACTGTAATATGTTGACGTCTTAACTGGAATACCGTTATAAAACCAATTCTCATATGAACGAAGAAAACCACTATTACGAAATACTACCACCTCCGTCTTATCCATATTTACCCCTAAAACCCAAGAGCTGCAATACGTATGTAATATATCAATCTTCCCCTGCAAACCTATAACAGTGTCATCAAATAAACTTAGATCATCTGCATACAACAATAACAACAAATCCATATAATCTGAACCAATAAAGATACCCCTTAGACCTGAATTTTGTAACATACCTTGAAATTCCGTTATAAACATCGCAAAAAGAAATGGACACAACCTTGCCGTACAACACTCACTGATTCGAAGTAATCACCAATCGACGAATGACTGAGATGAACAGAAACCAAAATCTTAGAATACATATTTCTTAAACTGAAAATAATCTACCCCGAATACCTTGTTTAAAAAGCGAATACCACAATAACGTTCTATTGACTGAATCGAAGGCCTTTCGAAAATCAACAAATAAGCAATAAAAATTACCTCCAGGTTTCGAAAGATATTTCTGAACAAGACACTGTAAGGTAAAAATATTATCTGTCGTACTATAACCTTTACGAAATCCAGCTTTGGCCTCTGGAATCTTATCATAACAGTCTGCAAAAATGTGAAGACGATTATTAATGACAGCGCAAAATAATTTACCCAACATCCATGAGCGAAATACCACAAAAATTATCAACTATATTTACATTACCCTTCTTATGTAGGGGCATTATAATTCTTTTCGCCCATCCCTGTGGATATACACCGGAGCTGAGAACATGATTATAAATCAACACCAAATAAGGCGATAACAAATGGATACAGCAAATGATCATTTCAGTCTTAATGCCATCTGGCCCAGCAGCTTTCCCACACTTCAAATCTTTTACTGCTGCTTCAATCTTCTCTGGAGAGATATCACCGTTTAAAATACAGTCAACATCATTATCGATGTCAATATCGATATCACAGTCGACGGAATCCAATCCATCAATAATGTCAAACAATGTTTTAGCATCATCAATCATCTCATCGTCGACAGCTATATCAGTTATATAACATACACTTGTAAAATAGTCTGTCCACTGTGTTGACGTGATCTAGTAGTATACACAAAATGGGGATACGGGGCCAGGTCCCCCTCAAGGGCTCAATTTAAAAAAATGTGCCCTTGAGGAGTCCCTAACCACGTAGCCCAATTGTGTATACTACTACTGAGGTGCATGCAAAATTTGATGAAAATCGGTCGAATAATTTCTGAAATATTGACTTTTAAGTGAGCATGGGGTCGGTTGGGAATAAGGCTCGGATCGCCTCGGGGGTGGTTGCTCCTCCGAGCGCTGTGAGCGGACGAGTCGCAGTGCGTGTGCGTGTGTCTCTCTCGGCTTTGTGTACGGGTGGCTGTCTACATTAAGCAGAAAAATAGGCATGCAAGACTGATAAAAAATCATGACGAGAAACTATCATCACACGGTGGGTGATGTGTAAAGGACTGTGTCGTGAGGTACGATCATCATCTCCTCACTGACGAATGCTCTTGGCGGTCCGTCATTCAAGTTCGGTTCACCGTCTTTGATGTCGACAAGGTCTACGTTGTACGTTTTCATGGACCATATCGGATTGGTGGCGCATTTTCTGATGTCTCCCCCGTATTCTCCCGGCTGGTACAAGTACCTAACGCTGCTCCGGTCCGGTAATGTTTTCTCTGTTTTATCACGACGTGCTGCTGCCGACGACAACTCAACAGATTTCATTTTGATGGCTTCGACGGGTCTCTTGCCCATGAGCCTGGTGACTTCGTTGTTGATGACATCCACCACTTTCGGTAAGCGTACGACCCATTCCGTGTTTCTGTTTCCGGGAACCATTAAATCATGCAAATATTGGTACGAGAACAGGCGTTCGGCTAGGGTGCGATTGAATCTCTCAAAGATGGCTTGGCTACGGTGAGCTCCAGCTATACCTCGTCTCACTAAGACATTGTGCTTGGCCAGCAGCTGTGACACGGCTCCCATGAACTCGCGTTCGGGATCGATTTGCAATACGGTAGGCCATGTCAAGCGACTGCATTTGTATATGCGTTCAAAGGCTTTGGCGACTTCGTTCGAATCTTTCGTTGTCAACGGTTCGGCTTCCTTGTAGCAACTGGCGATGTCGATGATGGTCAGGGCGTACTTGTAGGTTTTGTGCCTCACGCTGTCGTGAGGGAGAAACAGGAGGTCATCTTGGTGGCCGCGATTCGGCATTGAAATGTCGAATTTTATTCTCAGGATGTATCGAGGCGCCGGCAGGTAGACTTGCCAGATGGCTTGTTTTTTAAACCAGGCTTTAGCTTTCTCTTCCGAGACTCGAGCGGCTTTGGCGAGTTTCGGGATGGTGTCCGCGCCTTTCCAGTACCCTCGCGGGCTGTAATAAATTTTCTCCATGATGTATGAATGCATGTGTGCGTAAGCATTCACTTATTCCATACGCGTTTGTGCCCGTACGCGTAAGTGGTGACTCTGTCGATGGCGATCCATCAATTCGTGTCCATAGGAGACAGCGAGGTCTTGTTGATTCTCAGTCCATCGCTTCTCAGCATGTTCATCTGGTGTTTGAACGTTTTATTCTTGAACAGGGCTTCCTTGAATCTGGCGTGCTTGATGTGTTTTTTCACCACGTGTCTTTTCACGCCTTTCACCTTTCGGATTTCATTGTTGTCGGCTTTCTTGATGGAATACATCTTGGGTCTCAAGCCAACGTACTCGGCGATCGACTTGCCCACGCATTCGTCCTTCATCTTGCCGAGCACATTTTTGTTGACTTGGCTGTGCCTAGGGTGATCTTTGGGGTAGTCCCTGGTGTCGTATAGGTGCATGTGTTTCTCCATGTCCTCATACACGTTCTCAGTGTGAAGTTCCATCAGCAGGAAATCTGTGTCCGTGTACAGCACTGCGCACCTGTCACCGTACTGCATTTTCAGCTTGTTATAGTAGAAATCATACGTCAAATGTTTGGATAAGTCTAGGATGCTCATCCCGGTTCAATTTGATGTGGCTTTTGTTCATTTGCAGCGCTGCCAAGTCATCGTCGAATATCTTGCTTCGGTTGAACACTGGGCTGGCTATGAGTGTCCTGAGTTTTTGTTCCTCGCTGGATCTGACTAATTTCACGTTAATGCGTTTTTTCAAATTCTCCATCGTCTTGCCGAACACCAAGTTGTTCATGAGCTTGTACAAGTTTTTTTTGAAGTCGCTCGTGCCTTGTTTTCGCATATTCGTGTTCAACCGAATGTAAGGTTCCATCCATGGATTTTGATCGAAGTGGAGCGCCCTGTGTATTTTCGTGAGTTTCATTCCCAGCAACAAGTACAGCTGCAGATTGTGATAGTGAACGACGTATTTTGACTTGTTCATCAAGTTCGGCACAAGTTTTTTTGACGATAGCCAGCTTGTTGTTTCCCAGCAAATTTCGTTGATATTCTGACATCCAGTCAGTGTTCACCTTCAATCGTTCGGAAGCTAGTGGATAGCTGTTGTGTGATTCGTGTAGTTCTGCGGGCTAGTCCAAGTCCAATTCGAGCATGTAGCCTTTGTTCGAATCTGGCGCAATGCTATTCACGGCAATCATCTCGGGTGACCCATTCGAATCCCCCGGTGGGGAGATACTGACTCATGGCCCAGCCATACAGGTTGTTGGTGTCAAGATAGAATATGTGATTGGTCGGTTTGCCGGGGTTGTCACCTGGAACGTACTTGTTGTTGGCTTTGGCGTATAGTTTGGAGGTCATGGAAATCCCACCTCGCAAGCCTTTTTCCACGAACAGGTACATTTGGTAATCCGTCAGTAGTTTCAGCTCCACGCCGGTTTTTTTAACAAGGCATCCCAAGAGAGACCGGGGGATGAGAAATACCATGCGGGGTCCAGGCCGTACTGTTTCGAGCACGTTTTTCTGAGTATCTCGAACACGTCGGCCAGCAGCAGCACATCCGTTTTCAAGTACAGGTCGTGGTAATCGCCCAAATTCTTGCAGCCCAGTTTGTCCCACACGTTAATCGCGTGCGCGTTATCGTCTTGGAATCGGTCAAGTTGCTGTAAAATTGGTCGATAGGAGGTTATCGCGTCTTGTCGAACTTAGACCAATCGTCCATGTACTCGTAGGGGTAGACGCCCTTCCTCAGCAGCAGGGATCAAGTCTCGGCGTCGGTGTCTTGATTGGTGATGTCGAAGTCGTCCGTGTCGTTGGCGTTCACCAGACTGTCTAGTGACGACAGCAGGGACTGAACGCTATCGATAAATCTCTAACGAGAATGAGATGTATTTTTCCATGTTGTTGGGGATGCACATTATGTTGCCGTCGACCTTCACGATGGCCTGCATGATCAGGTGAGAACAGCAACCGCGAAGATTGTGAAACACGACGGGGATTTTGATGGTCTTGGGATCGATTTTGAGCTTCAAGTTGCACGCGTTGTGAGCGGCACCTCTGTACTTGCCGGTGACGTGGCAGTGATCTCTCACCACATCCCCGTTCAGGGGTTCGTCACACATGTGGCAATTCTTAGATTTCTTATAAGTTCACCAGTCGTTTTGGGTCATATGATTGTGTACTACTGTTTCCTGATGATTTTCTCTTCGTTTTGCAAACACGTGAGAAATCGTTTGGCCACGTCGTGACCTCGGTAGACCACGGGAGCATTCGTTTCCCCATCAGATCAAACGACCACGTAACCGAACCCGCAGGCTTTGTGTTCTTGTGTTTTATGCATGAAACTTTTTTCCGGGGACGACGGCGCGACAGTGTCGACGGTTTTGATGAGGGCTTCGAAGTCGGCGTAGATGACGTAGGGCACGGGCATTTGATGTTTGTGGTTGAAGAATTTTAGCGTGTTTTTCTTTTCGTCGGGCATGTCTATTCAGATGGCTGTCTCTCCCACGCCTCGGCAATCTGACCGATGGGATTCCAGCAGGTCGGCTCGAGTGAAGCCGTGCAGGCACCTTTCTGGAAGTGTTTCTTTTCCTTATGCTTTGATTGATCGTGCAACAGTCTGTTGAAATATTTTATCCACGTGTAGTGATACTTCTCGCCTTGCTTGAACATGAATATATTGATCGTTTTGCGGTGTTCGGTTGTGAGGGAGTTGATCCTGTGCACGATCGGTTTATTCCCTTGGGTTGAGGATGTTCGTTGACAATGCTGAGCAATCTCAGCAGCAGAGGTTTCCTCAAAAGTGAGTAACCTATCACTCCGCATTTTTTGGCAATCCTTTTCAGTTCTCGAACGGTAATCATCGTTGCTATATCAATGTGTGAAAACCTTTTTCTAAATGAAAATAATTATATTCAGATGCGAAGTCAAATCTCTAATAGGTTGTTCGCTATAGTCAGGTGTGAAGTAAAATCTCTAATAGGATTCTCATCACTATGTTCGGCTGCGAGTCAAAATCTCTAGTAGTTTGTTGGTGTGCAAAGTATGTCTTGCTGTTAAATGTTAGCAACCCCGTCAATACGTTGGATAGTAAAACTTTCAACCGACTTTAAAAAGAAAGAAGCGATTTTCGTGATGCATGTTAGATTTATATTCTGAGGAGTCGGTTGCGTTCGTTGAGATAGTCTCTTTTTGTCAAGTAGATGAGATGTCCTCGTACCACGTCTGCTCCGTGGGCTTTGCAACGATGATAATAGCATTTCACACCCACGCCGCACACTTCACACGTGTAATTCATGAAACCCTTTCGTATGGACATCATGTGTATGCCGCAATATTCGGTGGTGCATTTCTTGCCGCGGTTTTCGTTTTTTCCTAGCAGCACGTACTTGCAGTTATACTGTGTGCGTCTTCCCATCTTTATATATATACACATAAATATATTTTAGTGTAATTGCTTGGCAATCAACATGGTCGGCGCTAGACCCAGCGCCACGAAAATCAGTTCCCAGTCTTTCTGTTCCATGGAAGGTATGTAAAACTGTAAGAGGGTGGGTTCATTGCCGAGAAGTTCGAGTCGCTTGCCGGTGAGCAGGTAGTCTTCTTGCATGGCGTTATTGACATTCTTGAACAATTGAATGGCGTGGTTTTCGAGCGAGAGTTGGTCGTCGATGAACTGTATTCTCTGCACGCGTTTTTTGGCGTACTTGGCTTGCAGTTTCTCCAAGGCCAAATCGTGATGTTTACGATCCGCTTCCATTTCGGCCCCGTTCAACGTTCGTAATTTGGAGAAGAGATAATTGCTGCCTGAAAATGCGAGGGCGTTGACTAATTCACCACCGACCATCATGGCGATCGTAGCCATTTCTTTTTTAAAATATTTTAATATTACTTCAAAATATTTTCCGGTATAATTCCATGCTTCACGAGAATGCCCTTGAAATCGTTGAAATCGAGTTTGATCGTAGGCTGTTTGAGAACCATTTTCGTTCTAACCTATGGTTAGTCCGGTGACTACAGCATCATGATATGCATCGATATGTTGTGTTGTGTTGGTGGTGGTGGTTGCTTGTTATACAGCAGCATAACGACCACGACCACTCTTAATCCAGTTGCTGCCATGGCGGCAGCATTTCACGGAGTATTATTATTTTTGTTGCACTTGGCTAAACCACCTTTTCTACCGGCGGTGACTTTTTTAGGATTCTTGGTGGTGGTGACTAGTCATATCGGTGTCGTCGTTGCTTCCTCCGTCGGTGTTTCCTCCTCCTGTTGCGCATCCATGTTGTATATTATTATCATTATTATTTTTTTCTTCTTTAAATTGACAATGCTTAGCCGTGATGATCGCCACGGTCATCGGAGCTAAAACATGCCGTATCTGTGGTACAGCGTGCAGCTGACGGCACTCAAAGCGTGGTCGAGGAATGGATCTTTCTTGAGATCTTCCCACAGGTAAAGTCAACATTCCGGTGGAATGGGAAGGAAGTACGAAACTATGTCAGCGTAGACTTGCGTTATGACAGACCCTATGGTTTTCGTCATTTCGGCGACGAGTCTGGCTTCGTATCTCGCTTACAGCTTGTCGATTTCTTAGGCTGGAATTTTGTGAATTTTATCGGGAGTGTGGTCGCCCCCACCACCCAAGTATTGTTTGGCTTTGCCACTGACCGCGAGCGCCACCAGTCTCTCGCTTGTCGTTTTATTATAATTATCATCGTCATCCAACATTTGTTTGAGCAGTTCATCACAGTCCATCTTATAATGTAACAATCGATTTTTAAGTCTCTGCACATGAAACACAGTGAAATGAAAGTCAAGTTGCACACAACGATAGTTTTGAACATGGTTTTTGCTTGAGTTATGCTAGAATTTGCTTGAATTTTGCTAGAATTTTACTTTTAAGCTAGCAGACTTTATACGCCACGGGTTGGTCGTTTTTCAACAAGAGTTTGGTGTGTTTCGTTTCGGCGAGCTGTTGCTTCACTTGTTCTTGTTCTTGTTTGGTTGGAATCACATCGTTTTCTTGCAAGCAGTCATCGAACGAATCTCTGTATTTGCAGTGAAACAGGTCTGTTCCCGTAAATCTTTCAGCACCGAGTTGAATTTCGGCGTCAAAAACCAAACGCTGTGCTTCGTGTGTCGGCCCCAGAAGGCCAGGTATGACAGCGCGTCTCGTTTTTTAAACATCTCCTTGTTGGCGCTGCAGTCGTCCAGGATAAACAGGTTCGATTCTCCTTTCAGTTTTGATGTGGCAAGCATGCAAACAGTCCTGCAGACGAATTCCAGGATCGATTTTGTGCACGTCCGGGTCCATCATCACCTAGGTCTCTCCATGTACGTCTTGTTCACCCGTAAAGTCGAATGATGAT